TTCATGCATGTTCTCACAATGTGCGACCTGATGCTCTGATGCGATCTACCTGCTCACACCCTACGTCTAAAACTCAGACATAATCTCAGCTCTGCAGTGAGATGGCGCTACTCGGACTGGTCTATCCGAAAGCCAAACGAGGAATATGAAGCTCAGTAGTGTGAAACGTGCTGCCTTGGCAATTAGTGCAATTTTGTGCTGAAAGCCTTAAAAAGAAAAGGCGACGACGTATTTGGATAAAGACATGGCTGAGCAAACGTGGCTACTAAGGTCTGTTAATTTTACAGAAAGGACCCTATTTCACCCGAATCCCAGCCATGCTTGTTTTTTCATCTGAGAGGATTTTTATTATTTATTTATTTTTTTTATTTAACCTTTATTTAAGCCAGGTCTCTCTTTTTCAAGAGAGACCTGGCCAAGGTAGCAGCCAAACCACAGGGAGTTTATACATATTTACAACATATTACATTTTGCAAAATAAAAAATAAAGAATTAAAAAATTAAAAAAACCCATAAAAAAATAAAATCAGAGCAGTATGTTAAAACACATTGAGCATCTCAGGAAAAACAAGCACATATCAGCATCACTACATTCTTCATGGTTGCTTTAAATGCATTAATGGACACGATAGTTTCTAATTTGAGCTCTTTCTGGAGGTTATTCCATCCCCAAGGTGCAGAGTAGGAGAATGCAGTTTTTCCCAACTCAGTTGAAGCTTGGGGTACATTAAAAAGTAACCACTGAGAGGAGCACAACTGATAACTACCGGAACTCACAGAGAGGAGGTTACAGAGGTACAGTGGGAGTTTACCAAGTATTGCTTTATAGATAAAGATATACCAGTGCTGTTTTCTACGAATTGTTAGTGATGTCCAACCAACTAGATCATAAAGAATGCAAAGACGGTAGAAGAAGAAGAACCCTTGTTTGCCCACTGAGCGATTTGCCCAGGATGGCCGACTGAAAGTCAAACATGTTTGATTTTCTCCCGCCCTCACGATTCCTGATCAGGAGGTGGTCGTGAGAGGCTGATCGGCCCTTGTTACACTAAACGACACACGATCAGGCTTAAAGTCGGCCTGATTCAAACCTTCTCGCACGACTGGAAAGTCTTCCCGAAAAGGGCAAAAAATTGCACAGTGTATGTCGGGCTTCACAGGATTGTAGATTTTGGCTTCAAGATTCTAAAATATCACAAGATTTCTGGTCAAAAGTAAATCTGTTTCAATAAGCGCCTTCAAGTTACCATTACGTCTAAGCTATTATTATTGGCCCTGGGTGTTTAGGTTAAAACATCACAGCCTGTATCGTTGTTTAGCATTCATAATTTAAAGGAAGATATGAAATAGTTCTTTGCCTTTTGTGGTGACAGATTGAGCTAACAAAGACTCCTCAGCATTCTGACAGATGAGATGCTTTTACAAAAAATAACTCCTGCCCCAAATCATTTTTGTGGTTGGGTTTTGGTACAGAAGAGGGAAAAAATATGGTGTCAGAGTGGCAAATAAAATATGTATCATTCAAAAGCACTCCAAGGATACCACAACTGGCAAAACGTTAGACACTAATGGTAGCTTCTGCTTTATAGCTTCCAAACTTTAAGAGATTCTTGACTTTTTCTTGACTGCATTTTATTAGTTCTAGTTCAAAATTTAAAATGCCAACAGACTGACCACATCTGTAATCAATAGTTCTGCACAGAACAAAGGTATTTTTTAAAGCATCTCAAGAATTAGAGCCCTTGCTGGCCTGTTCAGAATCATGTAGATATTCTGTGTTTGTACCTACTAACAGCACGTAACGGGAGTCCTTGCAGAAAAAAAAACAGCAGATTTCAGAAAAAAAAAATTCAAAGTTTTAAAGCTTTTTGAAAACACTTTGTGGCATATCCCTGTAGACTGCAGTTTGGTTTGGATCTCCTGTAAAGCCACTATTTACCTCCACATTGATATAAATTTTCTATTTTTACAGATGCAGACATTGTTTGCCTTTGATGAGGAGGAAATGGAAATGAGGAACAAGGTGGTGGAAGACCTGAAGACGGCACTCAGGACTCAGCCAATGAGGTAAGTCCTCAGCCTCTGGTGTTTTCCTGGGCTGCAGAGCGCTCAGAGCTCCGCTGTGCATGGCTCTCATTCAAGTCATGCATTCCTACCATTTGACTTGCTGAGGTAATATCCCACAAGCTAATTACAGCTAATAATGTAACATACTACTGGAAAGATTTGCTTTGCTATAATAGCACCTCTTGTCATTTAGAGTTATCCCACTTAATTACTTCCAACTGAAATACAACCAATTAGAAGTATTTTTAGCATCGTGGTTTAACTTTTTCCTCTCCTGACATGGTCATCGACAGCTGTTAGGCCTCACACTTCAACAAAAAAGAGCCATTCGAGGACATGGTACTTCCCATTAATACTTCTGTCCTCCTCCACCGTCTGCAGCCCCTTAACAGCCATCCATCAGGCACTCATAAGATGTGGTGGTCTAAACCAAAGCGGCGCTGTTGAGGTTTTCCATGGGGACGTATAAAGTGACAAACTGATTCTATAAAGCGACAAAAACTCAGTGCAGCTTTGTAGTCTGGGTCATGTCTCAGTTTTGTGTTTGTAGGTTAAGGGTTTATAAGCCTGCTTAGATTTGTGCTCCAACAGCATGTAGACCTATTTGCCTTTTATGTCGTACTCCTTGCAATTATTTTTAACTGTGGATCTCAGGTTGTCAAACTCATTTCTTCAAGAGGAAGTATTCTAAACTCCTATTCTGATCCCTTGTCCACACATGTACCCCTAACTCCAGCAGATAAATTACCACATTTCACCTCGGATCTCTCTCCTTTTTATTTGACTCCTTTGTCTCTGTTTAATTTTGTATATCTCCTTTCAACTTTTCTCTCCCTGCTTTGCAGTTATTTCCAGTTTTCTCGCTATGTGCAGGTAATGAGAAGCAGCCATGCTGACGTGGCTGCATGCTCTGCACATGTGTCTGCATGCGTTGTTTGTTTACCAGCCTAATGAAATAACTGGCGACAGATGCTGGGAAATGATCAACCGTCTTTTATCTAAAAATGTTATTAAATCAGCCTGTTTGTCATCTAAACAGTCAATCTTTCTCTTCAACCATTTTATGTTCCGCTCTGCTGAATGAGGAAGCTTAGAGATTGACTGTTTGGGATATTGAAGTCAGATTTTTTTTCTTTTTTAAGGCTATGCATGTAAATTAATGTTTGCACATTTTACATAATTCAAAAATGTAGGTTTTAGTTTGAGAACCAAGAGAAAATTGATAAATTAAAAGATGATAGCTATTTATGAATCAAAGCAAATGTTCCTTAATTTCCCTAATTTATAGTAGAGCGAAGAACATGTTAGGTTTGTGTTTGATGTTTGCTGACAAAATAGTTAAAGATTTTCATTTAGATTATTTAATGAATAAGAAGGAAAACTGTTTCAATGATGGGAAAGATTCACCAGTTAATGTTAATAAATAACTATAAAGCTCTTATTTTTGTATTTGATCCCAACTAGCCTTTAAAAATAGTTTTTAGAATAAAATTCAAATTTTCATTTGGCAAATCCATTGTTACCCGAAATAATGTTGTAACCAGACATGGAGCTTTGGGGGGGAGGGGCATCCAACCCCATGAAATCTGATTGGTTCTCTGTTTATATTCAGCATTTCAGCCAATTATAAACTCAACTAACTCTACTTCCCCCGCTGACATATGTCAAGTTGTCTTTAAGGTTTAATTTTTGTTTATAAATGGAAAATTAAAAACACAAATCTTATCCCCTTTGTGCACAATATGCACTTGAATGTATGTAATGTTTAGAAATTCCAATTGCAAAGAAAAAAAAACTGTCTGTAAACAGAACAAATACATAAATGCATGAAGTGGTGTTAAAATCAAATGTAAAGAAATTAGTCAACTGCTCAGTTGTGGCCATCATTTTTTACACTAAAGATAGGTTGAATTTAAAAGTAAAACTCTGTTTATCCTCAATTGAGTGGAGTTTCTAGCTAGGTAATGGCTTGGTCACAGTATTTTAGATAACTGGCTGAAGCTATCCGGTTAACTGGCTAATGCTCTGAAGAGGCTACTCTATTGTCATGACATAAGCCACATTGCAGTGTTTTAATTTACTGTCTCCAGACTCAAACCGTATTAAGAGACACTTTATTTAAGAAAATGACTTTAATAGGGCTTCAGCAGGCTTCCCTCCTGCAGAATGTCAGGCGGTTTGATGGTTTTCTTGGAGCAGAGTAACACGTTAGCTCCTAAACACTTGACCAAACTTCAGTATATTGTCACAACTTAACCTCCCTTGTCAAAAAAATGTATAGTTTGATTAATTATACATTTAGTTGGCAACAATTTGGTTGCAGTCATAGGCTACGTTCACAATGCAGGTCTTAATGCTCAATTCCGAATTATTTTGTTTTTGCGTTGTTGTTCCAAATATATGCAACTTGCATGCGTAGTAGAGGACGTAATGACGTCACAAGCAAGCGTGATCTGTATTCACGGAAGTAAAAATGGGTGGTAGTGCTGGAGCTCATCTAGCTCCAACCTTAAAAACTCAATCTTTTTAAGATGGTTATACTACTCTCCACATTATCATCCACCATGGTCTTTGTTTTTCTGTCAACTTCTGCGTAGCAGGATGAAAAATAGTGACCTTTGTTAATTATTAATAGTGTTCAGGTCGGATGAATGCCACCTGGCTGTTCAAACAATTGTTGAAAAGATAAGATTCGTATCGGATTCAGGACCACATAGCCAAGGGACCTAGGTTGCATTGGAAAAAATCGAATGTGCAGTAAAAAAGATACTATACAGGTCGCATATGTGCAAAAAAACTGGATTTGGGTCACTTTAGGCTGCAGTGTGAACGTAGCCCTAGTCATGAAAGCTATCAGTTTTCATGCAACCATGAAGGTTACCAATTTTGGTAATAGAATAATATTGAAAAGCTGCTTCACTTTTATTCCAACCTCTGTGGTCTGATGCATATCACCCTTTAGCAGAGCTTAAACAGTTAGCCATAAAACATGGCAGGTTTATGATCAAAACAATTCTAATTAAAATAAGTACACTTTTAGACATTTTATACAACTGCACAGACAGATATTATAAAACACTTTTCTTAAGACCAACACTAACAAAATAAATATAGATCTGATCTGTCAGATTTACTATATAGAACCATTTGAATATAGGACTGTCTTTAAACTCAAAACTAAGGGCCGATACTTTTGACAAGTTAACAATTTAACATTTGCTCCTTTGGGGAGTTTGGGAAGTAACTGTATTTGTATGATTATAAAATAAAGAGAGGCAAACATCGGCTGCAATAACACAATCTAAATGTGATTATGATGGAGTTTTTTCCAGCATCTTGCTCCCGTTCCCGTGTATCCTTCATGGGTTTTCTAGTATTTTATTCAGATAATTTACCTCATCAGACTTGAACGGCTCAATGAATGCTCTTTAGAGGTGCACCTGCACCAGAGCTGTTCTTCTCAGGATGAGTTATGGCCCATTAACCAGCAGATGTTTCTTCCTACCGTAAACTTAATGTGGGTTCCAGGTGTGCCCCCCAGAATATGGGTGTCCAGGGGAATAACGGGGCAGTGAGTTAATATCCCGCCTTTGTCAAATTTGAGACAAGTGAGCGTAAGAGGAAAAAAGATGGCTCAGAGCTTTAAGGTCAAGGGGAAATCTGAGCTTATTGGTGACTTTATGGGTTGTTTCTGTGCACCATGGGTGCATCTGTTTTTCTGGCCAACTTTTGTGAGACGTGGTTGTGTCTCTCTGTGTTTTCTGCTGTAATTTATGCCTGCCTGAAGTGGTCTCCCTCCCTTTTTTCTTCTGGATTCTTTCCAGAGGCAGCTGGGCCTGGCTGTGAAGAGGCGGCCCTTTATGCCCTCTGCTTGTTTTGCAGGGCCACAGGAGCTAAACACATGCTGGGTATGCAGGGTGCCAGTCAGAGGGCACAAAGGGAGCACATTGTCAATTATCTACGTATCTTTTGCTGTCTAGCTTTCTCTCAAGGGAATCATTTCTATAAAAAGGTGACGATGTCTCATCTTTTTTTGTCTTTGTTGCACGAGATTGATTGTTTTAACCCCAACTTGCAATTCTTTAAAATGCAAATGTCACATAATCCTTTATTTTGACAGAATAGATGATTGCAAAAGTACGTATAAGAAACAAAAGATTATGTATGAATATACAAGGTTTGAAAAATTACTTTGAGATTAACATTTTCATCCCTAACTACCATATAACTTAAGTCTTAATAAATAAAAATAACAAATTTTCACCTATATTTCTCAATGACAAGTTGATAATAAAAGCCAGATTTCCAGCATCACTTTATTGTAATATTGGAAAAAGCTAACTTTCTGCTTGTAAATAGCTATAATTATGAATTAATGTTCAGAATCATACTGCTCATCAAGAATACTGCACAGCAAATACTTTTATGATTGCAATTTTCAATTTTTTCCTTAAGTCTGTCTTTAGGTTTTGCTTTTTTCACTATAAATTAATATTTTTTATATTAGCAGATCATTGTGTATCTGATGTTTGTTATTCAATCATTTTGGTACTCCCATAAAACTGCAACAGTATTTGATGTGTATGTCTATGATTTGATGTATGTGTTTTCTAAAGCTTTGTTTCTGTTAAAATGATGAATCTACTCATCTTGAATTTCCCAAGGAGAAATTCAGAATGTGCATGTCAGAAGAAAACTGGAAAAGCTGTTTAAGTTAAAGCCTGGTTTAGCTTCACTCTAACATTACTTTATTTTAAAGTCACATCACTTCCTAAGAACTTTCTTACAGATGGAGATTTTGAAATCCCTCATAAACTCTTAGGGGCTAAAGATACAACAGCTGCTTTAAAACCCTTAACTCTCTTTTCTTTTTGTTCCAAATTATTTTCATTCAAATAATGATTATAATTATATTTGCTTGAACTTGTAAAACATTATATAAGCCTGAATGTCNCTTGTAAAACATTATATAAGCCTGAATGTCACTTCAAATAAAAATC